CCAAATTACCTACTGCCAAGGAAACGGCTGAAATCATGCTACAACATGTGTTCAGGCTGCATGGTCTCCCCAGTGACGTTGTCTCTGATCGGGGACCACAATTTACTTCTCGTTTTTGGTCCGAGTTTTGCAGGCTGCTGGGAGCCAGTGTCAGTCTCTCGTCCGGATTTCATCCCCAGTCCAATGGTCAAGCAGAGCGAATGAACCAGGAGATGGAGACTGCCTTACGCTGTCTAGCCTCCTCCACTCCCTCCTCCTGGTCGAGGCAGCTTCTATGGGTTGAGTATGCCCACAACACCCTTCCTAGTTCTGCTACTGGTCTTTCTCCATTCCAATGCTCCCGCGGATACCAGCCACCCCTTTTCCCGGCACAGGAACGTGAGGCCAGCGTCCCATCTGCACAGGCGTTTGTAAGCCGATGTCGACGCATGTGGTTAAAGGCTCCTGCGCTCTTCCGACCGTTATCAACGGACCGCCAATCGCCGTCGCAAGCCAGCTCCACAGTACTCCCCAGGGCAACGTGTCTGGCTCTCCACACGGGATCTCCCTCTCAGAGTTGAGTCAAAGAAGTTGTCTCCCCGTTTTGTAGGCCCATTTCCCATAGCTAGGGTCATCAATCCTGCAGCTGTCCGCCTGCGTCCGCCCCCTTCTATGAGGATTCATCCTACCTTCCATGTGTCCAAGATCAAACCAGTTAATGTGAGCCCTCTTCAGCCCCCCTCTAGACCCCCACCACCACCCCGGACTATCGACGGGGAGACTGTTTACACTGTCTGTCGCCTCATCAAGTCCCGGCGACGTGGTAGAGGGTTGCAGTACCTGGTACACTGGGAGGTTTATGGCCCTGAAGAGCGTTCATGTGTGCCTGCTCGCAGTATCTTTGACCCATCTCTCATTACTGACTTTCACCAGGCTCATCCCGATCAACCACGTGGGATGTCAGGAGCCGTCCATAGAGGGGGGGGGGTTCTGTCACAAGTTAGACACTTCTATTATTGTTTGTTTGGTGGCTCAACTAAACTCTCCTGTCATATCAGATCCCGCCTTCCTCCAGGCCCTTGTAATCAGCTCACTTCCCTCACCTGGTCTCCCCAGCCCTTCCCCTCACCTGTTACTCATTCCCTCATCACTCCACAGTATTTATACCACCTCACTATCACTTGTCCTTTGCCAGATTGTCTTGTCGTTTCCGCCAAGCTCTCCAGTTTTTGATCCCTGCCTGCCTGTTTACGGATCTCGAGTTCCTGCCTGCTCCCTGTCTGGTTTTGGTTGCCTGTCTGACGGATTTACTGGTTTTGACCCTGCCTGTCCCTGACCTGAATAAACTGAACATTGCTATACACTGGTTGTATCTGAGTCGTGCTATTGGGTTCTGATCTGTACCTGTGATCGTGACAATTGTAGCGTGTTCAAGTAACCAAGGGATATAGTAGTTATCAAATAAGTATAAGATGTGCACAGTTATGATACGTTTTACAGTTATGTAATGCACTGTTGTTGGGGGGGAGAGACCGCCCCTTCCATATGAGTGTCTGTGTACGGCGGGCATTAGGCTTGCATGACAGGACGAGTTGTGTTTTAAAGTAAACAGATATTGTTCTAAACTGTATTAAAGTAAACAGGTAATATCTTGAACTGTATTAAAGTGAACATGTATTATTTGGGACTGTTTTAAAGTAATCCTATATATATAAACCTTCTCACTTACACTCACTGACCCATATATCAACACACACACACACATACACACACATACACACACACACACACACACACACACCCACATGTTCTTTTCAAGGTTCTTTCTGGGGGCCAATATAATCTCAAGCACCAATATATCTGTGTACAATGTTTGATTGTTTGGGAAGGAATAGTTTGTGTGAAATCTTCCTTGGGAAGTTAAAGGAGTGAAGTTAGGTGGAAGATAAAGATTGACTCTGCCGTTGTCTACTCACGCTCTGTTCAGAAGTAATGTACCAATATATCTGTGTACAATGTTTGGTTGTCTGGGAAAGAATAGAGTTTGTGTGAAATCTTCCTTGGGAAATTAAAGGAGTGAACTCAGGTGCAAGAAGGAAGTGAAGTGACTCTCCGCCCCAAATATGTCCATATATACTGTTGTTTATTCATGCAAAATGCCCCCTGTTTCTGACTGGCTGGTCCCGATATCTGTATCGCACGGCAGTAGAGCGGGGAGCCCGGAGTGCTCTGTTACAGGGCACTCTGTATTTCGTATTGTGTTTTTTACCATTAAAATCAGATTATTGTTATAACTTTTATGCCGGTGTTTTGAACTCCTTCTTTTATTAATCTGACCAGGCTCATCTAAACGGACGGCGCGGAGCAGAGGTGGGCTTTAAGCCACCACTACTGTGTTTGCTTCTACAGTTTGTATTTGGAAAAGTCATACTCAGTGTGGTGAACGCTTATTGCTACTGTATCCGTAGCACCCCACACAATAGTTTGGATTGTGTACTGACGTCAGTAAAAAAGTTTGCCCCCCCCAGAGCAAATGTCAAACTCCGCCTATGCTCCTGCTCCTCCTTACCTTGCCGCAGATCGGACCGGACCCTCCTCTAACCATCGGATTCAACGCTGAAACAAACTCCAGACAAAGGGAAGTGGTTATAGAGAACCGCAGTGACGCATCCTAAAACCCGGATGTAAACTCCTTTCGGTTCCTTCGTCAAAAAAGCAATGCAATTTCTCCATAGGATTTTGGAAAATAGCTCGAAATAAGGTCTGTGGTTGACACACATTTAAGAGACGGATCACGTTTTGTTCAGCCGGATAATATCCACATGTCTATCCTACTTTTATAATTTTTTAATCATAAATCTAGTCGCCAGAAGCAAAATGCTAACGTTATGCTATAAACGAACTACAAAAAAGTACAGCAGCAGGGTCGCACGACTTCAACGTCACGCCAACTTTAGATCGTTTCAACTGACTTTCGCGCGCTTGCATATTTTAACAAAGCTTTTCATTTGAGCCACACTGAATTTCACTAGAAGTCATGGCTGTGTCAATTACCATTCTGATATCATTTTACAAAGATGACAAGAAGAGTGTAGATAGAGGAGAGAACCACTACAAGTCAGGACATGTACAGCAGTGCAGCCTAGATGAAGATGTGCTTACCGGTGTTGTCAGGGCTAGCATGAGAGACAAGGTTTATAGAGTGTCGGTGAGTAGTGATAGCAAGAGTACCGTTAAGCTAGAGTTAATGTATTCACATTAGTGACTTTAATTCCCATCAACAAATCCATTTTATGTGTCACATGAAATCTTTATTACAAATATTACACACCAGAAAACACAGAAATATCCATGAAATAAACATACAGTAGGCTATAAACAATTAAAGGGATAATTGGGAAGGCATTACAAATGTAAATATATTTTAAATAATAAAACAATCCCACCACCACAGGTATCTACAGGAGAAGAGGGAATTCTCTCCACGAAATGTGAATGCCCACGTGGAGAATGGAAATGCAGTCATGCGGCTGCATTAGCTATCTTTGCCATCCACAATTTCAGCTGCACTGACACCCCCTGTCAGTGGAAGAAGCCAAAGGCAGCTAAACGTACACATTCAGTGGAGGAGCTATTTCCTCCAACCAATAACTCATTCAACCCGCTGACAAGAGAGCCCACCTCCGAAGATCGTGACTGGCTGAGGGACAGACTCGGGGGCAGGTTCTCAGGAATTTCTTGGCTTCTCTCCCCCGAGCCAGAAGAGGAACACTACAGCTTGGAAACACTTACTGTTCCTGAAATTCTCAAATCTGTTGGGCATCAGGGACCTGAGGCAATTGTGGCAAGCATGGCATTGTCTGAGGAGCAACAGAGGGCAATTCAGGTGGCTACCACTGGTCAGCGAACCAACCCAAACTGGCATTTGTTCAGGAAAGGAAGGTTGACTGCCAGCAACTTTGGAGCTGTCCTGAGGTCAAAGCGTGTGACTGCTTCCCTTATTGCCAGGGTGCTTGGGCAACAACAGGCCCTTGATGGTGTTTTGTCTGTACAGTGGGGGACTATGAATGAATGTGAGGGCGTCAGGGCATTCACCACTGCAACCCAGATGCAGGTCCATGAGTTAGGTTTGTGGCTCTCCCAATCAGGAGTGTTGGGGGCATCTCCAGATGGTCTGGTAGGGTCTTCCGCTGTGCTGGAGGTAAAGTGTCCCTACGGAGCCAGGGAAATGACAATTAGTGAAGCATTGCAAATCAAGGGCTTCTGTTTCTGCTTCTGTCAAGGGCCCACATGCTTCCAAAGCTGGCACTGCCAGAATAATCACCTTTGTCACTGTTGTGGTTATTTTCTGAAAAAGACAGAAAAACAAAAAGGCATATTAATTGACTTGTTCTGAGTTCAGAGAGCACTGCTGTTAAAATTAAATATTTTAAAGATTTACTCATCTTCAGGATGTTATGGTTCCCCTTTGAAGATCTTTCTTGTAGCTGCTGCGATCCTTGTTTGAGTCGTTCATATGTTCGATGAAAAAGATCATAAATCTATCATTTTCAAATATAGTAATTTTAAGAAATTGTGAATCGTTTTTAATTTACATTTACTCACCTTTGCAATGTTGTGGTTGTTAGAGTGTTAGGTTTCTGACTACAGAGAATAACATATTTACAAAATAATATTTCTTAATAAAAAAAGGCAGTCCATGCAGAAAACTATTGTGGTTTCTTGATTCAAGCCTGCCTCTGAATCCCAAATCACAAACCATTCTTTGGAGTAACGTTTCTGATAGAGAAAGACAGAAAACAAACATGAGCCTACCCGAGAGGCCAGACTTTAAGGTAAGAAGAAGTTTAAAGATTTATATTTGCAGATATTATCAGCACATCTGAGTCAAATTAACATGTGTATTAAACAGAACCTAAATAAAAGAAATAAAATGCACCCAGTTTAAAAGACATTGTTTGAGTTTAATGATGAACTCAAAATGTAAAACAAAGTATGAAACATGTTTCTGGATTGATTAAACAGCAGAATCTAAATAAAAGAAATAAAATGCACCCAATGAAAAGACAGTTTGAGTGTAATGATGAACTCAAAATGTAAAACAAAGTATAATAATAATACATTTTATTTATAAAGCGCTTTTCTACAACTCAAAGACGCTTTACAGTATGAGGGAGGGTAGAGAAACAAGGACAGGCAAACAAATAAATATAGTCAAATAAAATAAACAGAAAAGTCAGTCAAGAGGAAGTTGATTGAGAGGGGGGCTTACAGAGTTGAAAAGATGTGTATGAAACATATGTGTTTACATGTGAAAAGACACTATTTTTCTGCCACCTCTTTTATGAGAGGACGTTGGAAGTTCACTAGTGCGCAACATACCTGCACCAGTTTATCTGCGAAGTGCCTCAGGTGAGATGGAATGAACTTTAGGATCCTAAATTCTTTCAAACGAGCATTTGCTCTCTCGACGTGAATCCTATTTTGTGCGATAAGCTTTGTAGCCTGTGCTTCGCTGTGTGTCAGTTGGCCATGACAGAGGAATGGGGGAATGTTGACAGTGACTCCTTCAGGAAGAATGTTCTGGATTAAGAATCCCTTGTCAGCCAATATCAGATCTCCAGGTTTGAAATGCTGAAGAACACCAGAATCCCGTACTATTTCTTTGTCACTTGTTGATCCTGGGTATAGTTTGCTGCAGTATGTGATCACAGCATTTGGTGCTACCCCCAGCAGTAGTTTGAAGGAGTGCATGCCACGGTAAGCAGAGTAGGTCTCTTTCTGGATATCCATTTGCTTGGGGATAGCAATTTTGATGTCTGTACAATCCACTATCATTCTGCAGTTTTGGATGTACCGAAATGAAGAAGGCAAACTGGTTTTATTTTTCTCCCGGCTGGGAACAGTACTCATTATGTCCTTAAAAAGTAATTTATGGAGAACCTCTATAAATGTTAGAATCACATTTCTGACAGTGCTTTCACCGCAGTGAAAGAGTGCAGCCAGATGAAGGTGTGTGTAATTATGACGCAGTTTCACGAGGGTCATGAAAACTTGGTCTTCAAGACTCAGTGATTTGGGGAACCAACCTTCTGGGTATGTAATGGAACCCTCAAAAGGAGCAACATACTCACACACAGCACTGAATGTGTCTCTATCTGGCAATCCTGTCTCCATCCGAAGAACCTTTTCACTCAGCTGAGAGGCAGAATACTTGTCACGGCAGTAACTCTGCTTTGCCTTGGACTCCTCTAGCTGGATCTCTAGCTGCATTATGTGTCTTTGCTGAGATTGAAGTTTTTCTCCTACCGTGGTTGCTTGCTCCTCGGCATTCTCAGATAGTGGTTGAGGATCTTCATTAGCAGCCGCCTGTGTTGATGGACCTGCTTCCTCCTCAGTCATTAGACACGCAGCTTCTTCCTCCATTCCATCAATTATCCCTCTCAGACAGTAGGAATGCTCTTCTACATTCTGTGCTTTAAAGGAAACGGGCCTTTTTCTCTTTTGTAAAAGAAAATGACAGCTGCAGATGCGGGAACAGGCATTGGGCTTCCTGTCAGCTGGTCTGTTGGGAAGATTGAAAATATTAGTTTCATGGAAGTCACACCGTCACATATAAGAGCATTAAGCCATACAGTACATAGGCTAAAACAAAACATCTAAAGATATAACCTTGCACTTTGATAAGTCTCGTGAACATTTTCACTATTTTGACATTTGTATAGATCAAAATTGAACTAAAATAAATAAATGGTAGATTAATCCATATTGAAAATAGGTGTCAGATGCTACACTAATTATAATAGTTAGATTTCTTAATTAAGATAATATATTACTTTATTGATCCCAATTTGGGAAATGTTTGTGTTGCAGCAGCATAAAAAGAAAATATAAGTTATTATATATACAAAAGTATGTGAGGGATGGAATATTAAATTGAATATAAATGTAAAATGTACATGTGATTTTACGTCCAAGAGAAGCTATGGAGCAGAGTTCTCTGCCAGCCAGAGGTGATTTGTTATTAGTTCAATATGTCAAACTGATTTCCCTGACTACAATCTTTAGTTACATGGTGAAACGTTATGCTGCTTGTACTAATTAGACTTATCATACAGTATAAGCGACACAGGTTTTTAATAGGATTTATTCATTATCTTTACCTATGTTGCGGTCTTTTCAGCAGCGCCATCTCTAAAACGGCGATACAGTCACTACCCATCATTTACATTTCACCGTGACATGGACAAAAATGTAACGTCAGCTTACCTCATGGCACGAATCCGGCCGGGAAACGATAGAACGAGCACGTTTCATGCGAAGACCTGTGGCTGCAACCCGGAGCAAAGCAACAAACCATTGCGTAGCTAACTAGTAGCGCTAGCTTTAGCTAGCGTTAGCTAAGGAAACAAACTGCCGAGTAAACTTGGAAAACACTGGTAATTAATTATTCTATAATTTGTAAAACTACGGTGTTAAAAAAAAAATACAGATTCTAATGGTCAGATATATAGATATACAGATACTAGAGATACTACAGATACTAGAGATAGGCAGGTAATAGGCTTGTTTGAGACAAGCGAGACCTGCGCAATTTCGATCAACGTCTTGCTCGTGCGTTGCATGATGGTTAGTCATTTTGTCCGACTTGCTCTGGAGGCCCGCCTACATGAGAAGTTGAAATCTCGCGGGACAAAGACGCCCGCAGCCTTGAGAGCGAGGCGCGGCGAGGCGGCGCAGTTCCTCTCCACGGGCTGCGGAAGCGTAATGCTTGATGGGAAACGACTCGCTGATATCTCGAGCTGAGCGCTCATTGGTGGTTTTTTCCACGTGCTGGTGATGAAACTCTCCAATTGGCTCGGCAAAAGTTTGTTGTTGTTTTGTGTCAGTTTTACGTCGCCACTTCCATTCACAATATTTATAGTCATTAAATTAATATCCATATATTTTATACTATACTTTCACTGCTTACCGTTTTCATACTTTATATATCTTAGCATATTCATACACACTGTTCATACTGCTCACAGGCTGATATCTAGTGTATTCATACCCCTCACTGTTTATTCATCATTCAATTCATTCTATATTTTATTCTATAGATTGTGAACATTACTTTTCACTTTACTGCCTGTTGCACCTGGTTAGAAGCTAAACTGCATTTCGTTGTCTCAGTACCTGTAATATGTGCAATAACAATAAAGTTGAATCTAATCTTGAGCAGGAACAAATGTATTTACTTCGTACATATCTGACATTACGATTAAACACATGTTTGCATTCTTTATAAATGCAAACCGAGTCAAGCCGACTCCGGAGGTGGCGGTATGCACCTTAAAGTTGTTTGCAATTCGCCAAAAAACCGAGAGAAGAAGAAGACGAAGCCGACTCCGAGCTGTCCGACTTCAGGCGAGCTTTTTGAGACCTCCCCCGGCTGCGATCGGCTATTCTCGTCTACTTTCGAGGCGAGCCGCAACTCGTCTCAAACAAGCCTACTTGCTTTCAAGCAGAACACGGGGGAAAACAAATTTAGCCGGAGTGTTTACGTGTTCGGCGTAATGACGTAAAACGGCCTCGACAATTTCTGTAGTCCTATTCAGCCACTCGGTAACAACCATTGTTTTTCAGACACGTAAACTCTTCAAAAATCACCAGTGGGGTCACTGCTGATGTATTTAATGTCGTAGAACAAAACGTGATTTATCTCTTAAATGTGTGTCAACCACAGACCTTATTTCGAGCTATTTTCCAAAACCCTATGGAGAAATTGCATTGCTTTTTTGACGAAGGAACCGGAAGTGCTAAAAATGCTAACTTACTTCCGGGTTTTAGGACGCGTCACTGCGGTTCTCTATTTCTCCTGCTTTTGGGCGTCTAGTTTTACGTCACGAAAGTTACATTGTTGTCTCCTCCCCTGAGTCTCCTTTTGTTGTTTACCGAGGGCTCCGCGACCAGAGGCTGACGGACAGAGGGCGGCGTGCCGGCAACGTGGAAATCCTGGCACTGGATTTCCTGGAAGGGACTTGAACCTTGCACTTCTGCCTGGCAAAACAACCGGAGTGGAGTTCGGTTCCAAGCGGACAGGACTTTCAGGATTTTATCAACCCCTGCTAGAACTGTAATTCTTAAGTAACTGGTTTATATTTATTGAACATTATTTTAACCTTATGTTATTTTAAGTATTTATCAAAGGCGTGTTTTTAAAGTAACTTTGTATAAATAAACCATTTTACACCTATTGTGCTGTCCTTCTCACTGTATTGGTGTGGCCGGGAATCCGAATCTTTTAATATAAATTTGATGTTAACAGGCCTCACTAGGCTGTTACATTAGTGGCCTTGTCGGCAGGATTCCTTTTCCACACCATACAGTGCAGAATGGCAGATGAAGAATATGAAGCTGCAAGGCCCAGTGGGTCATCAGAAAATGGGGGCAGGCTAGAAAATAGTCAGCCTGTGGTAAATGCAATGATGATGCCTTGGTTTATGGGTGTCCCATGGATCCCAAAGTTCAATGGTGACCGAAGCAAGATGTGTTTTTCTGAATGGCATGGGCAGGTTCAGGCAATGCTGAGGGCACAAGGGTTAAATGAGGAACAGAAAATTGATTTTATTTTTGGGGCACTTCAGGGTGACGCAAAAAGGGAGATGCGGCTGCTTGACCCCAACAAACTCTCAAGTAGCATAGCCATAATGCAGGAGTTAAAGAGACTGTATGGACGTGTAACCCCAGTAGCCCAGCTTCGGACACAGTTTTTCAAATGTTACCAACAGGAAGAAGAAACTGCTGCTTCTTTCCTCCTTTGGCTCCGTGAACTATTCCACCAATGGGAAGAAGTTGAACCAGCTGGCTCAGCCCAGGATGAGAGGACTATCCGATACCAGCTTGTCCTTGGTTTGAAGCCCGGTATGGTACAACAGGAACTTCAACGGCAGGTGCGTAGAAATCCTACAATGTCCTTCCATGAGGTGTCTGGTGAAGTTAAAGCATTAGAAGCTGAACTAAGGATGGAGTCTGCCTGTGCATCACGTGTTTCAGTGCCACAGCCACGACCAGCCATGCCACCACCTAGCCTGGAAGAATGGAGAGAAACAGTAAGAACTGAACTCAGGAAAGAAATGAAAGACCAACTGTCCATTATTACAGAGACTCTTACAGAAGAGATCAGACGCCAACTCTCACCACAAAATGCCCCAGTTGGGCACAGAGACTCTACCCCACCCCCTAACAGACTAGCTCAAAGAGGCCATAACGCATCCTCCCCCAGGCAAGAAAGGTTTGAGTGGGACCAACGTGGCCAACCTATTTGCAGAGGCTGTGGGCAGGCTGGCCATATTCAGAGAAACTGCCAGCATGTAAGGGGGCCGTTAAACTAACAGCCTCAGCCACTGAGAGCCATGTGGTTGGGGAGGGGAATCAGGGAAACCAAGCAGACAGGCCCTCTGTTGTTGGGGAGTGCCCAGAGGTTGACATATTAGTAGCAGGAGTAAAATTGCCCTGCTTGCTTGATACAGGCTCACAAGTTACGCTGTTTAGTGAAACTTTCTTTCAGAAATGGTTGAGTGGAGAACAGAAAATAAACCCGCAAGATCTGCACTGCACTGTAAAAAAAAAAAAAATGGAAAAAAACGGTAAAAATCTGGCAGCTGGTGCTTCCAAAAACTTACCATCAAATTACAGTGAAATACCCTAATTACAATAATGGGAAAAAACCGTAAATTCACAGTAAATATAATGAATTTCCTTTACAGAGAAACACTGTTATTTTACAGGTATCTTCCCTTGTTTATTACGGACATAATTTAGAGTTAAGCATGTAAAAACTGTTATTTTACAGTTTTATCCTAAATTATTACGGTCAAACACCTTCAATAAAGTGACAGAACTTAAAGTTCAGCAGTGAAATACTGTTATTTTACAGTTTTATCCTAAATTATTACGGTCAAACACCTTCAATAAAGTGACAGAACTTAAAGTTCAGCAGTGAAATACTGTTATTTTACAGTTTTATCCTAAATTATTACGGTCAAACACCTTCAATAAAGTGACAGAACTTAAAGTTCAGCAGTGAAACACTGTTATTTTACAGGTGTATCTGCTCTTTTTACAGTCAATAACCTTTAATAAAAGTACAGCACTAAAACTTCTACGGGCAAAAAACCCGTAAAAAAACGGTCAAATGACTGGCAGCAGCAGGCTGCCAAACAAAAACCATAACATTAAAGTAAAAAAACTGAAATAAAGTGCAAAAGCAATTAATATACAGGAATTGTCCTTAAAGATTTTACAGGAAAACACTTTCCTCTCTTTTCAAAATTCATTGTCTTAAAATGTTACATTCAAATACCTTAAATAAAGTTCTGATGAGAAAAACTCTTTTTTACATTTTTTTTTTTATTAGATTTGTATGATCTTACACCAACATAAATACAGAACCTAAAGTTCTACAGCTAGAATACTGTTATTTTACAGCTTTTTTCTAACATTTTCCAATCAAACAGGCTCAACAAAATGACATCACAAAATGTTCTATAGGAAACAATTACTCTGAAAACTTATATATAAAAATATTTGTAGAATTATAGTACAAGTAATGAATACAGCATTTCATATTTAAACATCATACTTATAAACAGTAGAAACAAAAAGTAAGTAGAATTTTTTTAAGATTACTTTGAAACATTCTCAACTGAAAATAACAAGATTTACAAAATGGCGACATATGTTCACATTGTCCATTTGAAGGAGCAGTGTGCAGGATTTAGTACGTCTAACATTGGGGATGTAGGTTCCAACCAATGGATAACTTGTTCACTCACCCTCCTATCACAAGTTTGTAGGATAATGTATGTTGGCTGCAAAAAACATGAGGCCCAATCATGTTTCCTCTGTCCATTCTGCGCTACTGTAGACGTGGCAGTGCAACCTAGAGGACAAACAGATCAGAATCAGAAACGGGTTTATTGCCAGGTAGGTTCACACGTATGAGGAATTTCACTAGGTGTCGTGGTGCATACATACAAATAAAGAAAAGTACACAGATAGCAAACTATATTAAGAACACTAATACAAATATAGTAAGATAGCAATAAAATAAAGCAGTAATTTACATCGAAATAGAATGCAATAAATTATAGAATATAAAATATGTGCAGTAAGCAATATTTAAACATTGCATTATTTACCATCCTGTGATCTCCATTATGTAATGCATAGAGTCTGCGTTGTGGCTGAGGTAAAGTGTCAGTGGTGGGGAGCGGGCCTTGTTGAGGTGGAGAGAGGTTTTGGTCCTGATGGAGAGAGGTTCTGGTCCTGATGGAGAGAGGTGTTGGTCCTGATGGAGAGAGGTGTTGGTCCTGGTGGCGAGAGGTTTTGGTCCTGATGGAGAGAGGTGTTGGTCCTGATGGAGAAAGGTTCTGGTCCTGATGGAGAGAGGTTCTGGTCCTGATGGAGAGAGGTGTTGGTCCTGATGGAGAGAGGTTCTGGTCCTGATGGAGCGCGGAGGGGAGGGGGGTGAACAGTTTGTGTCCAGGGTGGGAGGGGTCAGCCACTATCTTCCCGCCTCA